TATAAGTAATAGCATAGTTGCCCGGGTTTCTTTTGTTTCAACAGGGTCGATTACTAACTAATCGCCCGCTGTAGCGGGCGATTAGTTCTAATCGCCCGCTAGAGCGGGCGATTAGAACTAATCGCCCGTTACCAAGGGTCACACCTTTGTCTCCCTGACGACCACGCATTAGGCAAGTGCCTCACGCACATAATCGTGCAAGGAACAGCAACAGTTAGCTCAGAGCCGTCAATAGTCTATCATCCGATCCCTGAGTTGCCGCATCATTTAAATTACGCACGTGCAGTCTCCAATTTTATGCTAATATATTTAGCGTTTTTGTTGTGGTACGTTAAATGATAGATTGCGCATGCGTAACCGATTAAAGCGTAAAAAGTGCGCATGTGCAACAAGCTTTTACATCCCACAAGCAATGAAGCAAATGTTTTAGCTTAAATACGCTGATTCCAAGTGGGGGCAGATTGTCCATTTTTAAATGGGAGCGCAACTATGCTATTACAAACTAATAGCATGGCTTTTCGGGAGATTAGTGATTAAATGACCCCTTACCCTCGGCAGGTTTGCGGAATTCCCTCGGGCTTCGCCCTCGGCAATTCCGCAAACCTGCCTCGGGTTACGGGGCCATTTAATCACTAATCTCCCTCAAGCCATGCTATTACTTATAATAATTATATAAGGTTCAGGCATCATTTAAGGTTAAGTACTGGTAATAATTTTATTTGGTTAAAAAGTAAACAGTCTAAAACTAGTAAACATGCATCATTGGTAGCAAAAGCCTCGTTTACATCAGTTAAAAGTTCAAATCCCCATTTACTGTACAAACAAGCATAAAAAATCTTGAAAATACTGATCATATTTATCATATTTTTGCTTCAATGATCATGATATGATAACCTTATCAAATCATTTTCTAACCTGAAAAGAAGGCCTGAACCCTATATAAATAATATCCGGCATTGGGCAGCCGGATACCAGATAATGAATTAAAATCTTAATATCCGGCCAGATACAGTATCAGTCCATTGCATGCTATGTCTTGAAATGCCAAACAAATTAACTTGTTAAATGACTGTATATTGATATTCAATATACTTAGCTAATATATGCACCCTTTTGTTGTTAACCCTTTGAGCAGCATTGTGCCCAAGTGCACCCTATTTTGTTATGTCGCACTAACTAACTTATGCAGTTGCACTATCTAACGCCAGACATTTTACTTTGTAAAATGCCAGACAATTTCACTCCTCAAAAGCAGTGTCCTGCTCACTAATGGTTATCCAAACTATCTGCCAATGTGCCTTGATAACCCATTAAGCCGAAATGCACCCAAATGGACCCGCATTTGTTATTTTACTCTGTCAAACGCCAGACAATTTTAGTCATCAAGAAGAGAGTCCTGCATGCTAATGGGTTAAATGACTTAATTACATATGTTATATATACACTTAAGCTGTTAGATTGTCCCATGGTATATTAATTTTTTACTTATCTTGACACAGGCTTGTACATTGGATCGATACGACTACCTGTAAATATGGTTAAACTTGGCTATGTGATTCAAAGGTTGTGGTTCACCGAGCGATAAAGAAAATGATACAAAGATGGAATGATTGGATGCAAGTTATTTACAGTGTTTCATATGACAGGTATTCTGATTGTGGAAGATGTGGGGTTGCAATATTTTGACAATTACATGGCTATAAAGTACGAGACAATTAATATAGTATACTCCATTACTCTAATTGCCAGAACACTGCATCAGAATGAGAAGTTGTCTGTTACAGTTCGGTTTAGTAAAAGTACATAGTAAAAGTACATAGTCAGCTATGTAAAATGTAATTTAGTCTGTGTCAAATAAATATTTTGTCATGGATAAACTCTGTGCAAATGAGCATGTCTCTAATGTCATTTTACTTTTAATAAGAATATGTAGATGTGTTTTCTAATACACCTTAGGTTTGCTGTGTTATATAGCATCTTTTGTAGGTGTGTTATGTAACACACCTTAGTGTGTTATGAAACACACCTTACAACGTGCTGTAAACATTACAGACCTCAATGGTGTGTTATACAGCACAGCTTTAGGTGTGTTTTAAAACACGCCATGGTGTGTATGAAAACACGCCATGGTGTGTATGAAAACACGCCATGGTGTGTAGGAAAACACGCCATGGTGTGTTCAAAAACACACCTTTATACAAAACACACCTTAAGGTGTGTTAAAATCTGGACAAGCCGAAAACACACCTTAAGGTGGGTTTTAGAACACACTTTAAGGTGTGTTCAACACACCTTAAGGTGTGTTAAACACACCTTACGCTGTGTTACAAAACACGCCAAAAGCTGTGTTAAACACACCTTAAGGTGTGTTCTAAAACCCACCATAAGGTGTGTTAAAATTTGGACAAAAAGGTGTGTTAAATTAACACACCTTTTTTTAGAGTGCAGTAGAGGACACGTCGGTCTTTCTTAGAGAGATAAGTTTAAATAGCGCAATGAAAAGACTAAAAGCCCTGTTACACTATGAAAAGTATCACTGACTCATTTTCTGAAAAATGCTGATATACGCTAGGGGTATGTCAGTTAGACATAGCACGTTTCTCTTATACGCAATAATGTGACTTATAAAGATAAAGTATTGTAAACAATATAATTATTCGTCTGGCTCTGTGTTTGCTGGTTTTTTTACTCGGACCGAGACATTGTTGAGATGGTATTGGAGCAAAACTTGAAGAAAAACTCGAATCTTAGTTCGCAGAAAGGGTGATTTTTCTATAAAAATCGCACATTTTACATATCCTATTAAAACAGTCCCGAAATAATCCCAATCCGTAGACAGTCGGACTCCTCATTGATAGTCGGACGCATCATTGTCGCTGTAGTTATTGTTGCTTTGTGCTTTATAAAACTTAGTCTTAGGATGTTTTCATGCATGATTCTGGCGTAATTGAAGAAATCGCCTGCAGGTCATCTTTTTTGGAGATGAGACCATGTTTTCTCACGCTGACGACCGATTTTCGTCACGGGATTCGAGGTTGCCATTGCAACTTTCTATGAATGCTGAAAGTTTATCAAGCGCGTGGAGTTCCTCGTTAGAAAGACTTAAGCCTGGTTCACACGATGAAATAAGCATAAGCATAAGCATAAGCAGCGGAACCTTTGATGTGCATAAACGTAAGCATAAGAAGAACGCAACATTTGTTCTTCTTATGCTTACATCAAAGGTTCCGCTTGCTTATGCTTATGCTTATGCTTATTTCATCGTGTGAACCAGGCTTAAGAGAGAAAACACATGCATATGTTTGCTTGCGCATTTATGTCCATGGTTCAATTGTGTAACGATGTAATGTTCCTCACAACCGGACATTGGTGTTTGACAGATTATGATTAATTAGCGTCGCTGGAAAAAAATAATTTTATATTAGAAAGTATACTAAGCATATATTATAGTATCAAACATTGACTGAGTCTTGCATAAAAGTTCCTTTATAGTATCAATTCCTAATATTATCCTAATAATTAGTTTGTGCATATTAGAAAGAGGCAATAAGATCAGGTACTGTATATCAGTACGTATATCCAGTGAAATAGTACTTAGCCAGGCTAGATGATATGATATTATACCGTCTAGTGGACGGGTATTCTGCAATACTTCCTCTCTTCAATTGGGATTATACATAGTTTTAACTGGCAATAACAGTTTTTGAGTATTTTGGGAACCAGAAAAACAAATTTGTAGTTTTGCTATGGCATCGCGAAACAAACTCGTCCATCTTTCTACATTGGTCGAAGAAGAAATGTGGAGTGATAGTCGAAACGTCAAAAAATATGTGTCAGTGATTAACGTATTTAAATGGCTTTTTGCCAGGTGATTAACTTATATATATATATATATATATATATATATATATATATATATATATATATATATATATATATATATATAGCAAAATCCTAAATTCTAGATAAGAAAATAATACTTATTTCAAGCAATATATTGCATAAAATAAGAATTCAAGTGCACTTTTTCTTGGCAAGACTGAACACTTACTTAAAACAAGAGTGAACTTACTTAGCAAGAGCCATCTCAGGTAATCACATTTCTTGAAACAAGAAATCTAGTAAGTTTTTTTCTTAACAATAAGAAAAAGATTTCTTGAAGGAAATTTTGAACGGTTGGAAGGAAATTATGTTTTTTGAAAATGGAAGCACTGGACCTGCCCATTGAACTATAAATAAACTGGAAGGCTAACTCAGGTGGGGGGGATTGAAGCCAGTGCATTTAAGTTTTTCTGAGTTATGAGCAGAAATACTCAACACTGAACGTTGGGCTATATATCAAATTGAAGCTGTTGAAAAACGCTATTTGGTGTAGAAATTTCAAGATTTTATCTGAAAGGAAAATATTGAAAAACTACAAACATAATTACCGATAATTTGCCGTTTTGCAGTTGTTTTTGTATTTTTTAAATATTTTTCTTTTCGCTGAAGTCTTGAAATTTCCACACCGAATAGCAATTTTTAATAGCTTCAATTTGATATATATCCCGAAGTTTGAGGTCAAGTATTTCTGCTCATAACTCAGAAAAACTATTTTGGTTTCATCAAATCATAGGCCTTCATCATAGCAGTTAGCCTTCCAGTTTATTTATAGTTTAATGGACCTGCCATGATGGCAGCCATGACAAGATCTACCGAGGTTTTTAAATGTTCTATATATAAAACATTTCAGTCATTGATATTGAGAAACTTGCCTAAACCATTACAACACTGTTCACTGCAACGAATCAAACTTCAGTGTTATTTGTGGAGTTGGAGGTTGCCCTGCAACTTTTACCAAGTATAACTCTTTTTATAAACATGTCCTCAAAAAACATCGACAACCCTACGCGGCTATATATCGCTACGAGCCGCGAGCCAAGAGAACACGTGGAGAACACATCGATAACGAAAACGGCCAAGATAATACGTTAATTTTCGAAGAGGAAAATAACGCTCTTATGCATGATCCTCGCAGACACAGTTCATCTGACGAATCTGACAATGGCAACGAACAGCTGCTACAAATGCAGGTATGAAGTGTTTTCCTGATTTAATTCGTTTGTGTAACAATTCAAAGTGCGTTGAGAAGTATAGCATTTAGAAACCAAAGGAGAGTCAACTCTCCAATATTTACAATGCCGTCTACAAAAATCTTCATTTACAGCATTGCTATGATGATATTAAATATGCAGTTACTGTAGAAAATATACCATTCTTGGCTTATAAGTGTTATGGATTTTAGAATGTCATAAAACTTATCGATGACGTGCAAGGCCGTCGCTAGGGGGTGTGGGGGTGTATATAACACCCCCCTGAAAATTGTTTGTCGGCAAATGAAGGGTTTTGTCGGCAAATAAAGAATTCTAAAGAGAAAATTCCGGTAGGTTGTAAATTAATTAATTAATTAATTAAATTTATTAAATGAAGGTAAATTAATCGTGGTCTGCAAAAATTCCACCCCAAAAAATACAAATTGTACATAGCATTGTGCGTTTAAGGTGTTTTTTGGGGGGAGGGTTGTCACTGGAAATTTTGTCGACGGGGGGAGGTCATTCAACTTTTTTGGAAAATTTTTTTATGGGAATTTCGTCGGCAAATGTTATACTACACCCCCCCCCCCCGACCAAGTCTCTTAGCGACGGCCGTGATAGCGTGTGAATTTATGAAGAAGAATTTCAAGAATTTATGTGTGAGGATTGCATGTATTTTGGGTAGCAACAATTGAGAATATAATATAACGTTTTGTTAGTGAATTCAATTTATTTTAACTGTTTTTATATAGGAAAATCAAGATCCTGACCAATGGAGAATGCAACGAAAGCTAGATATTCCAGTCATTTTGTTGACATCCAATGAAGCAATCCTACTTGTAGGAAAAGTGTTGGTATCGTCAGTTGATCGACCAAATTTGAAGGAAGCTTTTCTGGCATTGATTGGCTTGTTTTATCTTTTAGTCCTAGATTACCCACCAAACCATGAATTTGGTTTTACTATGTTGCAGTTTTTGATTTTCGGCGACGAATCAGTACCCGCTGAAATTTCGAAAACATTTAATACTATGCTGCCAGATTATCAAAATTTCAAACATTCGAATGAGGGATTAATGCATGTACTACAATGACATTGTAAAAGACTGTCTTTTGTCCAAGTTTCGTTAGCATAAAAGTGTGTAAAAGTAGTTGATAAATATAAATTGTTGGGTTTTGATTATTAATTGAACTACTGTATGCATTTGTATAACTAGCATTGCTTTGTAATTCACAACGGAGTGTTAATTAACAAGGCCCATTTGCAATGAGGGTTTTGAAAATTCCCTCCTCCCCGCTATACAGGCTAGTAAAAGTTTAATGGTTTCAAGCAATACAGATCACTTGTTTCTAGTAAAAATTTGCTCGTTCTAAGTAGTATTTTATTCTTAAAACAAGCAAATATTTTCTTTTATTGAAAAAATTATATTCCTGTTTTAAGTGTTTTTTTACTATTACTGTAAGTAAATTCTTGTTTGGCAAGAATAGAATTCTTCTTAAGTAAAAACCCCCTCACTATACGGACTAGTAAGGATTTACTTGGATTAAGTAATATTTCACTTGAAACAAGTAACAAATTTCTTAAAATAAGAATGAAAATTTTGCTGTGTGGTGGAAAATGTCCGGCAGCGCCAGTAGCACCGCTGCCAGGAAATTTATTTTAACAAAATATCCTGACACTCAGGAAATCTTGTTACATCTTGCAGAAGAGTTTTGTCATCTTATATACTGGAATGTCATATAATTTACTTATTGTTTACAAAAGCGTTTTGCAAGTCGAGATTGTCTTGTGCCGAAATTGAAGTTTAGATCACCATACATTCTCTGAAGTCTACATGTGCAGGAAGTTTTAGATTTGACTTAGTATAGGTAATCACACGGGAAGGAGTGCAATTAATGATTAATACTACGAGTGATATTTGAAAAATGTGCCAAAATTGCACGAGCCGCCGAGGCGAGTGCAATTTGGCACATTTTTCAAATATCACGAGTAGTGTTAATCATTAATTGCACGACTTGCCCGTGTGATTATTTATTTATTATATGCATGACAAAATCGATTTCTTTATATTTCAACTGCACTTTGTCAAGAGTTTTTAATTCTTTTGTAAGCTATTTGGTATAAACAAACTTGAGAAATGATTATAAACTCATAAAGGCACATAACTTAAACTAGAACACAAGATTCAAAATCAAACAACATATTTTAGACTAAGAAAATCTTTATAAATTGTATTTCAAACTTACATAGTCACGTTTCGCTGCATCCCGCCAAGATTATTTCTTAAGACTGTTTCCAGGTATTTTCCACAGGCTCTTTTTCCCATATAATGTTTCTTGCACTCACTCTTTTGCCAAAATTCAGTTAAATTCGTCCACATTTGTTAGAAATACTTATCTAAATTTGGCCGCCATATTGGATTTTGTTGTTTTGATTTCCCGCTCCCCCAGCCATCACGAAAATCATTAATTGCACTCCTAGGCCGTTGGATGAGGGTCGAAAATGTTCAATTCCGTAGCACCCCTCGTGTAACTACATAATTTTTACATGAATCTATAGATTATAACTTACTTAGTTAGAATCCACTTCCCCCCAAGCGAAATAGTTGCACAAATTGAAGTATAAGCCCTGCAAAGTTCACGCTTCCTCGTGTTTCGGAATCCATGAACCGCCATTGTTGTGTTGCAAATACGCATGCGCTTGAGCACAAAATACGTAATGCGCACGCGCAGATAAGAAAAACTGATCTCAATCTAGGACTGGACAAGAAAAAATTATGAAATGTGCGAAAACAGGGCTGAAGTAAAACAAGATGACATCGGAATATTTTAAAAATATATGATATTTTTATGTTCTGTGCATTTTAGCCAAGCCAACATTACAATAATAACTTATTTAAAATATTAATTAAAATATGATGTTATTTTATACTACAGCAATTGCATAACGCTTGCAAGCAAATTTGTTTCAGGCTTTAACTATTATCACAATCCTAAACATTCAGGGCCGTACACAGCAGGGGAGGCAATATCATTATTAATTGGATATTTGTGACGTTTTTCGGCATATAGGCCTTACTGCCCCCAGCTGATGAAAACATTCTGCGTACGGTCCTGTAAACGTTCTAGAACTCATACCGTAATTTATCATTTATTTTTTTTTGGGGGGGGGGGAAGGAGGGAGGTATTTCTAATATACACAAAGAATCTGTTTGCACGTTTTATTCTCTTTAAATATGCAACATCGAGTACTGTAATTTTCCGTAAAATATCATAATTATCTTTCAAGTTTCAAATACAATTTCACTCCACGATTTTATACATTAATTGCTTACAGGAGAGGGCCGGGGGTGGGGAAGAAGTGGTGCTAAACAAAGAAATGACTATATACCATAAACTAAGTATTACTCGGTATTCACAATCTTATTTATTCTCTAAATCTTTTCCCGTCAATTAATTTTATTAGTCCGGGTAATGGTTGTTTATTGGCTTTGCGTCTAATCTATTATTATATTAAGCCAAAGAACGAAGGTTAACTCTTTGCCTCAAGGGCCAACGTACCAATTTTGAGTTACGGTGACTGGAACCTCATTACGACTCTGTGTTTGTACCAACCAATCCTCAAACACTCGTATTTCGTTGTTCATGTACGCCTTTAGCGTAGCCATGTTGGGGCTCGGGGGACCCCACCCCCTCCCTGGTAAAATTTTGATGCCCCCTGAGAAAATTTATTCTATAAAAAGAAGTGAAACATAGCCCACCTACGTTTTTGCTGCCCCCCCCTGACCAAAAATCCTGCATGGCTACGTTTCTGGA